ACATTGCTGAAATTGAAGACGACACCAGTAAATGGAAAGACACCCTGTGTTCATAAATTGGAAGACTTAATATTGTTAGGATGTCAATACAATCCAAAGTGACCTACAGATTCAATGCAGTCGTTATCAAAATCCCAATGATGTTTTTGCAGAAATATAAAAATCTATCCTAAAATCCATGTGGACTCTCAAGGGACTCTAAATAGCTGAAACAATGTAGAAAAAAATGAAATATAGTTAGAGTCTTACACTTCCTAATCTCAAAACTTACTACAAAGCTATGGTAATCAAAAGGGTGTGAGTACTGGCATAAAGACAGATATATAAACCAGTGGAATAGAACAGAGGCCAAAAATAAACTCTCCCATGTATGGTCAAATGATTTTCGACAAGGGTGAAAAGATCACTCAACTTTTCAACAAATGGTTGTGAGGAAAACTGGATATCCACATACAAAAAAATCAAGTTGAACCCTTACCTTATACCATATACAAAAATTAACTCAAAATAGATCATAACCTAAACGTAAGAGCTAACACTATAAAACTCTTAGAAGAAAACACAGGAGAGAAGCTTTGTGACACTGGATTTGGCAATGATTTCTTGGACATGGAACAAAGGCAAGAAAAGGAAAATAGATATGTTAGACTTAATAAAAATGTAGAACTTCTGTGCATTAAAGGACACAACAAGAGTAAAAAGGCAACCTCCGTAATGGGGGAAAATATTTGCACATCACCTAGCTGATAAAAGACTGATATCCATCACATACAAAGAATTCCTATAATTCACTGGCCGGGAGTAGCTCAGTGGTTGAGCATGGACCTAGGATCCAGGAGATCCCGGTTCAATTCCCCGTCAGGGCACAGGCCCGGGTTGCAAGCTCCATCCCCAGTGGGGGGCATGCAGCAGGCAGCCGATCAATGATGACTTTCATCATTGATGTTTCTATCTCTCTCTCTCTCCCTCTCCCTTCCTCTCCCTGAAATCAATAAAGATATATTAAAAACAACAACAAGAACAACAACACACGAATTTCTATAATTCAACAAAAAACTCAATTAAAAAATGGGCAAAGAACCCAGCCAGCAAGGCTCAGTCACGGTTCGATTCCCAGTCAGGGAAAGGGCATGCAGGAGGCAACTGATCAATGACTCTCTCTCTCATCACTGATGTTTCTGTCTCTCTCCCTCTCCCTTCCTCTGTCTGAAATAAATAAAAGCATATTTAAAAAAATAAAATAAAATAAAAATTAAAAATGGGCAAAGAGCCCTGACCAGGTAGTTCACTGGCCAATATGCAAACGTTGGGGGTTCGATCACAAGTCAGTGTGCATAAAAGAATCAACCAACAGCCCAGAAATAAATCCATGCCTTTACAGTCTATTAATATTTGACAAAAGAGGCAAAAACATATAATGGGGTAAAGATAGTCTATTCAATAAATGGTGTTGGGAAAATTGGGCAGATAGATGGAAAAAATAAACTAAACCACATTCTTACCCACACAGAAGAGTAACCTCAAAATGGACTAAAGACTTAAATATTAGACTCAAAAACCATAAAAATCCTAGAAGAAAACATAGACAGTAAAATCTCAGGCATTTCTCATGGCAATATTTTTTCTAATATATCTCCTCAGGCAAGGGAAACAAAAGAAAAACAATGAAAAAATGGGACTACATCAAACTAAAAAAGTTTTTGCACAGCAAAGGAAACCATCAATAAAATGGAAAGACAACCCACTGAATGGGAGAATATATTTGCTGATACATCTGATAAGGGCTTAATATCCAAAATTTATAAAGAACTTATAAAACTCAACACCAAAAAAACAAAACAATCCCAATAATAAAATGGGCAAAGGACCTTCTGCAAAGAGGACATACAGATGGCCAAGAAACTTATGAAAAATGCTCAATATCGCTAGTCATCAGAGAGATGCAAATTAAAACCACAATGAGAAAACACCTCACTGATACAGTGGCAATCATCAATAAATCAACACACAAGTGCTGCGAGGGTGTGGAAGAAAGGGAACCCTTGTGCACTGCTGGGGGGAATGCAGACTGGTGCAGCCGCTGAGGAAAGCAGTGTGGAGGTTCCTCAAAAAAAATTAAAAATGGAACTGCCTTATGACCCAGTGATTCCACTTCTGAGAATTCATCTGAAGGAATCTGAAACACTGACTGGAAAGAATATATGCCCCTCTATGTTCATTGCGGCATTATTACAATAGCCAAGATGTGGAAGCAGCCCAGTGCCCATCAGTAGGTGATGAATAAAACAGCTGTGGGACATCTACACCGTGGAATACTACTTCGCCATAAAAAGAAGAAAATTTTACCCTTTGCAACAGCATGGATGGACCTGGAGAGCATTAGGCTGAGTGAAATAAGCCAGCCAGAGAAAGACAAGTACCACGTGATGTCACTCATGTGGAATCTAATGAACAAACTGAGCTAACAAGCAAAACAGAGACAGACTCCTAGACAGAGAGCAGGCAGGCAGGGCCG